GATACCTTTTATTTTGACACTTCCTGCATGGACACCTAATACCGCCTTCCAGTAAAATTTCTAGGAATAGATGTTGCGAAATTAATAAAACCCTAAACCCCGTTACAATAATCCATTCTTCGCAATCCTTGGGGTGAATCTCGATACATCCATGAACAATCATCCATGATTTATATCAAACTTCTATAAAATTATAATGACATAATGTATTAATTAACTAAGTTACGTAAATAAACTTGCAAAAATATTACTTTACCTCAAGATTATCCAACAAACCAATCACAACTTCTCATAAATATTAAAAATTCATTATCATTTATCAACGTCCATACAAATTAAAATATATAAATTTACAGACAAATTACCACTCCACAATACCATTGACAAAACTTTAAACGGACGCAATAAGTAAGCTATTAATTATTTTAAAATAGCACATGTACTTCGGTAGTTCCATAAAGTTTTAACAATTTACAAACAAATACAATCTTACAAAATCTAAAACCAACCATAACAGGTATAGAATTATACATCCATATACTACAAGTTTGTTTGACAAATAACAATAAAACATGTACATTTACTAACAAAATACATATACTAAAAAAACAACAAAATTGACATTTAATTAAATGTTAAGATTTAAAAAGAAAGAATTACTTATAAAAATTGATAAAATCCATCGGTAAATCAAAACACGATGCTGTGACCACAAAACTTCAAGAAATATAACTTGTTCTGCTGATATGAGGGAGATTTTTGTTTGGGGGGTGGGGGGCTGGTTGTTTGCAGATGGGGAGAGTTGGGATTATGAAGAAGAAGGAGAAATAGGGGAGGAGAGGATCAGCAACGTGTACATATATTAACTTTTCCTGACAGTTTCATAGATGGAAAATCCGTTGGTGAAACCGTCGATGATTTTGACGGTACAATCGACACATCACCGTATAGATCTGTCATTTCAAATCCGTCAATGAATCCGTCGACAATATAAATGGCGGTCGCTGTACGGCCTGTCCTTTTGAATTCGTCGGTGATTCCGTCTAAAAAAATAACCCCCCAAAACCTCCACGTTAGCGACCCTTTTTTTTACGACGGTGACCTTTCCGTTCGTGATTCAGTTGGTAACTACCAACGGAAAATTTTCATGGATGATTACCGATTGAATTACAGACGGAATATAACCGTCAGTAATTTCAACCTCAAATTACCTACAGAATTATTCCGTCGGTAAATCCATTATTATTTAGCGAATTTGTAGTAGTGTTACTAGGGGACTAGTGAATGGTGAGCTCAACAAATCATTGAAGCTTGGGGCATTGCGGAGAAGTCGGACTTGGTGGGACCAATTGGGGGTGGCGTACGGTACCCACGCGGTGCCATTATTTCAGCACTTCAGAATTTTTGAGCATTGTTCCTTGGTTTTCAACAATTTTTCTACATTAATTTATGAATTTCAAAAGCTTTATTTTATAAATTATAAATGTTTAATGTGTGCGTGTTTGAATTAGAATTAGAATTTTTAGTGTTTTATGAACATGTGTATTTTTAGTGCTGTATGGTAAAGATAGCAGAATTTCATAAAAATAAAGCAGAATTTATAATAAATGAAGAGAGAAGGATCAATTATGCTCTTTTGTTAATGAATTCTTTCACATTGTTACATAACTTTATATCAATTTATAGTTGGAAAACGTGAACAAGCTTCTAACCTCAATGCGAACAAACTTTCTTATTTTTATAACAATACTACCAACATTTTAACCACTTGACCCTTTAATCTCTTGACATGTGGCAAAACTAGGTAGTTTGGTATCTTTACACCTTCGCACTCTTCAGTGTGGTTAAAAGATGCTCCCCCAAGATTCAATTGTTTCTTTGGCTGCTTGTTCAAGATAAAGTATGCATGCACTCATGATTTCTTGTTTCAGCGTGATTTGCTTTAACTTCATGCAACTTTTCTTTACTTGTATTGTTTGGAGTCTGTGGCTTCATCAGAACGATGTAATCTTTAATGATGCCACTCCAGATCTTCAGGGTTGCTTCTACTTGATTCTTCACAGGCTTTCCTTATGGTTGAAGATTGATAGAAACACTTTTGCTTACACCAGAATGGATCTAGGGATCAGCTCTGATGGGATCAAGTTCTGGGATAACAGAATAACTCACAGCTGATCACTTTTACCATTTTTCCTTTGTTTGGTCTCTGTTCCCTTTCTTTCGTTGCAGCAGCCGGTCTTTTATGGCTTTTTTTTTTTTTTTTTTTTTTTTTTTTTTTTTTTTCTTTTGTTCTTCTTTCTGTTGTTGTCTTTTCCGACTTCTTTGGCTATATTCCCAGAAATTAATAAAATCTCGACTATTATCTAAAAAAAAATCGGGAGGATATATACTAGCTAGTGCCAGCAAGTTGACCGTGAACTAGCAAAAGAAAAAACATAGTCTAAAATACAAAAGAAAAGGCCAAAGCATGAAAGTCTAAATCAAAACTTGTTTAAGCTGCAAATAGAAGGGTCGTTATGTATTCGTCCAATTCAGTAGACCTTTTTCTAAATAATAGTCGAGATTTTATTAACTTTTGGCTAATAAGAAGATAGCTGAAGAAGTAGCGAAAAATGGGATCTCATGATTGACTACTATCAGAAACCATAAAAGCACTCTCCACTTACGGCCTCATGATTGACTACTATCAGAAAGGAAAATGGGATCTCATGATTGACTACTATCAGAAAGGAAAATGGGATCTCATGATTGACTACTATCAGAAACATTCCGAATATTTGCACTCTCCACTTACGGCCTCTAAGGAGACTGCACTTCATATGGCTGTGTGCAGCAAACAAGAGCAACCACCTAAAGATTTACTGGAAATCATGACGACAAGCGAATTACCTTTAACTGAGACAGAATTTCTCAAGAAAACAAACAAATTTGGAAATACGGTTCTTCACGAAGCAACCATCTATGGCAATAATAAGGCTGTAAAACTCTTGGTAGAACGTTGTCCCGAGCTGCTTTCGGTTCCAAATGAGTTCGGTGAAACCCCATTGTTTACAGCTGCCAGATTTGCTGAGACAGAAATAGTGGAGTTTTTAATCAGATCCAAACCAGGACAACGCGTGGATGATGATGGCCTCCTATTACCAATTCACCGCCAGAGAACGGTAGATAGCATGTCCATCCTTAGCGCTGCTATCATAGGGCAAAACTTTGGTAACAATTTCTCTCTGTATTGAATTTTCAAATTTAAAACTATGCATATATAAGATATTGTATAATTTTTGTCTTCCTAATCCCATGAATGCAGAAGCAGCTTTACTGTTGCTAGAACTGGATAGATCGCTCGCCAGCTTGAAGGACAAAAATCAAACATCTACTCTTCAACTTCTAGCCGAAATGCCAGCTGCTCTTGAGAGTGAATTTCCCATGGGCGTATTTGAAAGACTCATCTACTATTGTATGACTTTTTTCTGTGTCATCATTAACATTTCTTTCCATTTCATGAAAATGGCTAGCTCTCATCCATGTTTAATTTCATTCCCTTTCGCATGAGCATGATGCAGGATGTTGGCTAGAAGGAATCTGGAACCAGAAAAACAAGCGTGTATTTGCTTTGAGATTCGCCAAAAGCCTAGTAGAGAAAGATGACTCATATGAGTTAGAGGGAGAGGAAGGACGAGATGGAAAACAAACCGTTCTGCTCTCATCACAAATCATAACAGGAGACCAAAATAAAGAAGAAGAAGGGCAAACTTCTGAAATCACTAGCGACGCAAAAGAAATAAAAAATGTCCAACAGCACAAACTTCTTTAATAAAGTCATCATTAACTATTAAGGTGCAGAGCCCATTGTTTACTGCAACTAGAAGGGGAATAGAAAAGATGGTAGAGATGATAATAAATGTACATCCTCATGCTATTGAGAATCTCAATAAGGAGGGTCAGAGCATTTTGGATATGGCCGTCATGTATCGCCAGAAAAAGATCTTCGATTTTCTGAAGCAACAGAAAATACCATTGGCTAGAATGCGTGGAGTTGTTGATAGTAAGGGCAACACATTGTTGCACCATGTTGCAGAGAAGGGGAAAAACAGTGGAGTAACCAAGCCCGGGCCTGCCCTACAACTTCAGGAGGAGTTGCAATGGTTTGAGGTGAGCCCTGTTCATCCCTTTGTCTTTACTTGATACAAGTTATAAGAGCACCAATCCTATTAAAACATTTGTTTCAACTCAATTATCCAATCCAAGACTACTTAGGGAAAAACTTAAATATTATTCACAATTAAAAATTATCTGCACTAGTAATAGCATTTCTGTAGTTCGTAGTTTTATTTAGCAATAGCAATCATATTTATCTCCCAATTTTGGAGCAAGTGCGAAAGGTAATTCCTTCTAATTATGTCCCGCTTCTGAAAAATGATGGAAGGACTGCAAGAGCACACGGAGCAACTGAAAGAAGCACAAAAATGGATCAAGGAAACATCTCAGTCCTGTTCAACTATAGCTGCACTTGTTGCTACTGTTGTCTTTGCTGCTGCCTATACTGTGCCCGGAGGTTCCGATGAAAATGGCAAGCCCAACTTCATCAACTCTCCCTATTTTCTGATTTTCACTGTCTCTGATGTTGTTTCCTTAGCAAGCTCTTTGACTTCGTTTGTGTTGTTTCTCTCTTTGTTGACCTCTCCGATTGAGCTACAAGATTTTCACATCTCTCTTCCTCGAAAACTTATTGTTGGCTTCACCTTGCTCTTCTTCTCTGTGATAACGACCATGTTATCCTTTGGGGCAACAATTTTGATACTCATTCAATCAGAGAGGAAGTTGACAACATTACTCCTTTCCATTGCTTCATTCCTTCCGGTCTTAGTATTTGGAATAATGCAATTCCGTCTGTACGTCTCATTTATGAGCTCTACATTAAACATTCTCAAGATAGCCTGGAAAGCTCATTCATCGTCCCTTGTCCTTTGCCTACCATGGGGTAAAAAGCCCCTTCGAGAAGATTGACACGGGATATATAACAAGCATGGATGTTCTTCCTCTTTCTTGTTTGTTTGAATCTCTACCATTGATCATTATATATTGAGTGTAATAGCATGTATGGTTGGTATCCAGTTTCGTGATATTTATGTGGTTTTGCTCCCTTCAATGATGGCCTTGAAGCCAGTATGTACTATATATAGCGTGTCATGGGGTGGTATTTGACTAATATGATGTCAAGCTTGCTTCAATCGGTTACTTGTTACAAAATTGGGTGTAAGTTTATGGTTAGGATTAAATATTGTTGAGTTGATTCAAGTGAAATAAGTACAAAAAGGGTAGGGTACATACGCTACATGATGCTAGCTGGTCATAAGGCCAAGGGATTGCTTGACATTATGATCGGCTTGCTATTTAATTTATATTGTTTTTCGAAAGAAAAGTACTAAATTGATGTTTTTAAGTATTTTTCAGCAGTCGAACCATCAGTACTGCTCCCTTCACCTGGGATTTTATAGACTCTACATGCATGGATCTGCGCACACGAGAGTTCATGTACATGAATGAGCACAACTTTCAATCTAAAAGTACAAAGTATAAGCTAGTTATTTTTCTTATTTTTACCCCTGTGATGTTTACATGTATAATTCTTTTTGAAAAGCTTTTTTATTAAAAAAACTAATTTTTTTTTATATAATTTAAATGTCATACATGATAAAAACACATTTAAAAGTCTTTTTAACATAATAATAAACGTTAAACGGAAATCTTTTTAAGATAATGATAAACATTAAAGGAAAGATAAAGGATAACAAAAAAAAAAGAAAAAGGAATAGGTGTAACTTTGTTTTATTATTGTAAAAATATAAAGTTAATATATGATAAGCAATAAATCACAAAATCCAAAACACAATTATTTTTTTAGCAATAATTAAAAAGCATGTGTTTTTTTAGTGGGTATGTTTTGAATATATCTAAATTAATAAATTTAAAAAATTACAAATTATTTAAAATAAAAAGTCTTAACTGCTATATGTTTATGCAAAAAAAAATCATTTCACTTGCATGTAATGATTTATTGCAAAAAAAATAAAATACATTCACAAAAATCAATTATTTTTTTAAAAAATATACACTTTAGCAAGTTATATACCCAACACATAGAAAAACTTAAAATAAATATCATCTAGAAAATCCATAAATTTAAAATGATTTTCCCTTCATATTAACCATATGTTTTCTAAATGAGGTAAATATTAAAGATTATGTCAATTATATCTAAATATATCCATTAAAAAGGTTATAAATTACATATCCATTCTACATAACGTTTTTATTGTGTTTTATTTTTTTTTAATTTAAAATATTTATTTATTCAATTTCTATTTAATTCAATGTAAATACTTACTAAACCTTAAAAAAAAATATAAAACAAGATACATGTTAAAGCTTCAACTATATTATTAAAAATATCTTTATATTTGTTTAAAATCCCTCACGGATTAAAAAAAATAAAGGTTTTGAGCAGTCAAATAAAGATGTTTCCCTTCCCTCACCAGATCTTCCCTCCCACCAGAACCACAAACGCCAGCCATTGGCATTTCCAGAACCTCTCTCTTCAACGACAGCGTCTTCCACCTTAACTCCATAGAGCCCTCTCCCAAACAGCAGCGTTTCCTTCTCCCTTTCCCTAACAGCCCTCACTGCCTTCACTCTCCCTTCCACTTGACTCGCTACTTCTGCAGTGGCCAAAATGGTACAAGACAAATTCTAAAGATTAGCTTAGAGACTAATTTCCGGTAGTATTATTTGGGGTAATTGGTTGTTGAGAAACAAAATTATTTTTAAGAAGGGAACTATAAACTTGTTTGATTGTTTCTCCACCATCCTTCGTCGGGTTGCTATTTGGTTGTATATTTTGAATTCAAACTTCAGTTGTACAGGAAATGACCTTATAAAATCTTCTGATGACATCAAATTGTGGTGTAATAAGAAATCTTAGTAGTCTTTTTATTGTTTGCTGTAGTAGATCAATTTTTTTTTCTTTTTTTCATATCCTTGTATGTCACTTTGGCTATTGGCTTTATTGCCTTTTCAATATACTTTCGATCATTATCTAAAAAAAAGATTTGCCATAATTATATGAGGATCTACCACCAAAATATTATGTAGATAGCATAATATACATATTTATAGACCAATAGGACATAACTAGTTTTAAGAGAAGGTTCGGTTGCACTAGACAAAAAAAAATAAAAAATGGCATTAAAAGATTATAATTTTTTATCCAATTATTGGATTGCGTTTAAATATTTTTGGGAGATCTATGAGGCTCAATTCTATGGTAGGCCTAACTTGCTATACCTAGCTGAACTTTAGAAGACTCTAAAATTAGGCCTTGAAGTTGTTGTTTAAGCCTATTTTGTTATTTTTCCTTCATTTTTCTAGATTTTATGTTTTATAAAAGTTTTTGATAGGTTTTTCTTTTTATTTAGGGATTACGATTTTCTTTTCTTACTAAGGTCGGTCTCATGTTCATTTAAAGACTTGTAAGGCATGACTCATTAGCCTTCATTTTCATGACTAAAACTATGACTTAGAGTTCTAGTGGGATAACTCTATTTTGACCAATCTCTTTCTTTCTTGCTTTTATTTTCTTATTGGAGTTTGTCTACATCAGTAGCATTTGGAGCAACAATACTCCTTTATCCCAATTGGCATCTTAATTTGCACTCTCTTATTTCACTCTTCATTCATCACTGACAGAAAATTACGAGTGCTTGCTCGAGAATATTCCTCTCGCTAAACTCTATATTCCTGAAACTCTTCTGATTAAGTTTGGCTGCTTTATAATGCATCATTATCTTGTTATTCAAGCTGTGTCATCCATCACACAGCATAAAGTTGCATGCTGTGTGAATTTGTTTAAAAGGACAAAGAATCCATCAAATGTGGAATGAAGTTCAAACCGTACACATATTATCAAGTCAATAATCTTTTTACTTCTGCTAAACTGTTAGTACTAATGGTGTTGAATTTTTCTGCGTTTGAGCATGCACATATCTCCGTGGTACCACAGCTCTGTGCTATAAAGCCTGATACGTGGTGGCCCTATTCTGAAGAACAAAAGGGTTGCATATCGTATATAATTTAGTTAAATCAAGATGTAAAGCTAAGCGTGGAACGCGTCATTTCAGTAATGAAATTAAAGAAGAAATTTGTGAAGCAAAGATTATTCCTAATTAGTTGTAAAGCATGACGTGCAAAACGTGCTGCTATTGGATGAAATTCCACTAATGAAAAAAAGGATGGACAAAGATAGTGCTAAAATTCCATCAAAGACTTCCATATAAAAAGAAAAGAAAGTATTCGATTATGGAATAAAGCGGGATTTTATCATTAAAGTGATGTTTCTGTAGACAAATCAGTATAGATGGTCTTGTAAAACATTCGAGTTCACGAATCAAACTAAATTAATTTAAAAAATGCCGGGATCCATTCGATTCTAAGCCTTTCTCGTGACAAGAAAAATACAAAAACTGACAGTTGTTTGGGGGAATATGATTCAGACTCCATGAGGAATATCATCAAAAAGCTTGTTGCTATGTCATTTTCTTTCAGTCATCTGCCACTTCAACAGGATGAAGAATTCTTCACATTACTTAATTATTTCAAAGATCCTCCACAGGATGAAGACATGATTGACATCTCCACAGAAATGGTGACCAACCAAATCGCAAATTCAACGTTTTGGTTGATGTCATTAAATTAATTATATTAACATTACACTCCATAACATAGAGTAGATATTGTTGGTGGGAGAGACCACTAATTGAAACACTCAAAGACAATAAAACATGCTATTTTATTTCAATAACAAAAAACTTACAATAACTAAAAGCTTTTAAACACACCATCTTCTTTTTTCTAGTGTTTCTCTCTTATATTTCCCACACACAATAACATCAACTTAGCTGTCTATTATATACAAATTAAAAGTAAGAAAAAATTAAAGTTCAAGTGTGAATATATATCTTTAGCGGTGGTGTGAAGACAGCTAGCAGTGGTTGTCATCTTTGATTTTTTTTTGGATTGAGTTTTGTCGCACCCTCGTGGCAGAGCGCAACGACCAACGATTGATTTCAGGGTTTTTTATTTTATTGTTTATAAGGGAGTCGCCACCTAGTATTTTGGTCACTAGGAACCCTAAATGGTTTTTCAGAGATTCCAAGGCAAGGGACTAGTTGCATAAAGGGAATGTATTAGCACCCTTAGTACGCCCTACCTAAATTGCTTGGTGTTTATAAGCTACTTGGTGTTTGGTCTGCCTTATAATTGCTATGGTGTTGGTGTTCTCTTAATTAGTTTTCCTAAGATAGGTTTGCTATAATGAGTGATTTGGGTTAAAAGTCTAAAAGAATAATGCTTGGCCAATATAGATCATACCTTTAGATATATCTATAAAGTTTCAAGGGGAATCAATGCAGATCTCTTGAAATCTGTGTTTGATTTAGACTAAATTTATTAAGAAAGAAATCCAAGAAGATTCAATGTGCTTTAAAAGCACATTTTTCCCCTAGTATTTCAAGAGTTTGCGACTCATAAATCATAAAGACAAAAGACAAAAGACAAATTTAGAAATCTAGGGTGCTTTTAAAAAAACTATATTTTTTAGTGTTTTATACTCTCACGGCTCGTAAACCATGGAGTA